TGCACTGCACAGACAAGCTGATTCTGCTTGGCGATTTTAACGCAAGAGTCGGATGCGATGCCGCAGCCTGGGAAGGAGTCATCGAGAAAAATGGAGTGGGAAAGTGCAACAGCAATGGCCTGTTACTGCTGAAAACTTGTGCAGCACATGGCCTTCTGATCAGCAATACGGTCTTCCGCCTTCCTAACCGCAACAGGACTTCGTGGATGCATCCCCGTTCCAAGCACTGGCATTTGATCGATTATATCATCATCAGGAGAAGGGACAGACAAGATGTCAGGGTTACAAAAGCTATATGTAGCGCTGACTGTTGGACGGATCATTGGCTCATAGTATCCAAAATGAAGCTCCGTATCATGCCAAAGAGACGACTACAAGGCTGTAAGGCTCTCAAAAGGATCAACGTGTCGAAGCTGAAGAACAGCCGCATCACTGAAAATCTAGCGGAAGACCTAGAGAATGAGCTTGCTGATCGTCGTATTGAGGATGACGCTGAGAAAGACTGGGAACGATTCCGCAACACTGTCCATACAGCTGCATCGAAGGTATTGGGGCCCTCCACATGCAGGCGGCAAGACTGGTTTGACGAAAATGATGCAGAAATCCAGGCCTTACTTGCTGAGAAGCACCGCCTGCATTGTGCATATCAAAACGATCCATCCTCGGCGGCAAAGAAGACCGCCTTTATCAACGTTCGCAGAACAGTACAGAACCGATTGCACAAAATGCGGGACTTGTGGCTGAGCGCCAAAGCAGATGAAATACAGGCATATGCGGACAGGAACGACTTTAAGCAGTTTTATGAAGCCCTTAACACACTCTATGGTCCACAGTCTTCTGGGAGCTTTCCCCTCCTGAACTCTGATGGTACTGTGCTCCTTACAGAGAAGACGCAGATTCTCCAGAGATGGGCTGAACACTTTGAAGCAATTCTCAATCGCCCCTCAGTCATCAATGATGAGGCCATTGACAAGATGCCCCAAGTTGCAGTCAATGACTCCATGGATGCTTCACCAGAAGAGGACGAAGTGAAGAAAGCTATCAATCAGCTGTCAAGTGGCAAAGCCCCAGGGTCAGATGCCATACCAGCAGAGGTGTACAAAGTCGGTGGACCCGTGCTGCTACGGAAACTCACTGAGCTGTTTCAGTCCTTCTGGAGGCAGGGAACCATTCCACAGGAATTTAGAGACGCGTCCATCTTGCACCTCTATAAGAGGAAGGGCAATCGCCAGGTATGCGACAATCACCGTGGAATCTCGCTGCTTTCTACAGCGGGGAAAGTTCTTGCACGGGTTCTGTTGAACCGATTGATTACTCACCTGGAGAAGGGCTTACTGCCAGAATCACAGTGTGGCTTCCGCAAAGGTCAGGGGACTATTGACATGATCTTCGCTGTGCATCAGCTACAGGAGAAATGTCAAGAGCAGAATCGTGAACTCTACACAACTTTTGTGGACCTCACGAAAGCATTTGACTCTGTCAGTCGCCAGGGCCTGTGGAGGATCATGTTGAAATTTGGCTGTCCAGACAGATTTATACGAATGGTACGTCAATTTCATCATGGTATGATGGCTCGTGTCCTGGATGACGGTGAAACATCTGAGGCCTTCCTAGTCACCAACGGCGTCAAGCAAGGGTGTGTTTTAGCACCCACTTTGTTTAGCATGATATTCTCTGCCACTCTGACTGATGCCTTTCAACACTGCACTGAAGGAGTAGGCCTGAAGTATAGAATTGATGGGAAATTATTCAATCTGAGGCAACTGCGTGCCATCACCAAGGTGAAGGAAACTGTACTTCGAGACTTTCTCTTTGCCGATGATTGTGCTCTGAATGCTAGTACTGAGCCAGAAATGCAAGCCAGTATGGACAAGTTTTCAACTGCATGCAATAACTTCGGTCTCACTATTAACATCAAGAAGACTGAGGTCATGCATCAGCCAGCTCCCCACGCTCCGTACTCAGAACCGTCCATCACTGTAAATGGACAGAGACTTCAGACAGTGGACCACTTCACGTACCTGGGCAGTACTCTTTCCCGAGCAGTGTCAATTGATGATGAAGTAAACTGCAGAATTGCTAAAGCCAGCTCTGCATTTGGCCCATTGCGTTTCAATGTTTGGGAACGTCGAGGGATCAGCCTATCAACGAAGCTGAAGGTCTACCGAGCAGTGGTGCTTCCAACTCTGCTGTACGCCTGCGAGACGTGGACTGTCTATCGGAGTCATGCACGAAGGCTCAATCACTTCCACATTTCCTGTCTGCGAAAGCTTCTAAAAATCAGATGGCAGGACAAAGTGCCCGATACTGATGTCCTTACTAGAGCCAGTCTGCCGTCAGTTCACACATTGCTGATGAGAGCCCAGACCAGGTGGGCCGGACATGTTGTGAGAATGTCAGATGAACGCATTCCTAAACAGCTCTTCTACGGAGAACTCACTCAGGGAAAGCGCTCCCATGGAGGACAAAAGAAGCGATTCAAGGACACGCTGAAGACCTCTTTGAAGTCCTTCGAGATCAACACCACCACATGGGAAACCTTCGCACTGAACCGTTCAGCATGGCACAGCCTCATTCACACAGGCAGTAATACCTCTGAGGCGAGGCGTATTGCTGAGGCTGAAAAAAAGCGTGAGCTGTGCAAGTCCAGAGCTGCTCGTACATCATCGACAGTGCCATTACATGTTTGCCCGACGTGTGACAGGACGTTCCATGCCCGAATCGGACTGATCAGTCATCTTCAGACGCACAAAGCCTGATCATCGAAAGAATGAGTTGTTGAGGTCTTCATCGATAACGATGGACAAACATCAGTGCCAAGGAGCTCCAGTATCCCATTGTGCTAGACACTGTACAAACATAACAAAAAGACAGTCCCTGCCCTAACATGTTTACAATCTTAGGGCTTGTCTACACTACCGCGGTAGTTCGACGGCTGGCAATCGAACTTCCGGGTTCGATTTATCGCGTCTGGTGTGGACGCGATAATTCGAACCAGGAAGTGCTCGCCGTCGACTGCGGTACTCCACGTCAGCGAGAGGAGTACCGCGGAGTCGACGGGGGAGCCTGCCTGCCGTGTGTGGACCGCGTCTGAACCGCGGTAAATTCGAACTAAGGTATGTCGACTTCAGCTACGTTATTCACGTAGCTGAAGTTGCGTACCTTAGATCGAATTGGGGTGTTAGTGTAGACCAGGCCTAAGTATGCGACAAGAGACAACAGATGGATATAGACAGATCAGTGGGGGAGTACAAAGAACAAGGAGACAAAGGTACATGTACATGGATACATGTCTGTCTGGCAGACTTCCAGGGTCTGTGGCTCCCAGGCAGCCCTGGGGTCCCCCAGCTGTGAGGCATGTGGACTGCTGCAGCACCAGGTGGACACACCGGTAGGTATCCAAATAGGTTTCCAACAGGACTTTGATGAAATCGAACCAGCTCTGCAAAGCGATTTGATTTTACTGAATCTGCAAATTTCAACGGAAAAAAATGTGTCATTGGAATTTTTCCGACCAGTTCTAATTACTGCAGTGGAGAGGTGTTGTGGGTGGGGCACTGGACTGGGACGTGGAAGCCCCTGTTCCGACCTCTGCAACTGGCTTGCTGAGTGAGCTCAGACAGATCCCTTCACATCTCTGTGCCTCTGCCTTCCACCTCCAAGCCATCATCTGTTTAGATTTAAACACTTTGAGGCACCGACTGTGCAGGGGTGCTGGAGCAATGTGTATGGGGGGGAGGGGGGGTGCTGAGAACCATTGAACCAAACTGTAAACCCTGAATATAATGGAAACCACTTGGAGCACCTCCCACACCCTTGGTTCCAGCACCTATGGGACAGTATGTTACCCAGTCTTTTTACAGCACCTAACATCTCAGCTGGGACCTCTAGACACTACTGTAATATAATACTGATATAATACTAATCATCATATTTTCCAGGCGGTAGCTTGGTGTTTGACTAATGATTCTTTTTCATCATATTCAAAACGCTGCTTTTAGTGATTTACTCTCCTTTGTCATTAGATGTAGTGATTTATTAATATGTTCTTTGATATGACTTTGGTTCTGTTTACACTTTTTTTCCCTTTGAGCTAGTTGAAGTTTTGTGCCTAAATGAACTGACAGAATGTCAATGGCATCAAAGTTTCCTTGGTGCTTAGAGCAACCATGTTTGTTCTCTGTTCTCTCTGGCCTACACTAATTGCTAATGTCAAAGATGTTGCCATTAGGTTAGTGAAGAACCATAGAACAGCCTTATTGGCAAGCATGTTGGAATTAACTGGGCCCTTAATGTTTCCTGATCTGAATGTTGTTTCTTGGCTGACACAGCTAAGTACATTGATGTGTGATCTAGGGTTTCCATCTCATTTTTCTTGGGGATCTTGGGGATTTATCCTTGGGGATATGTCCTTACTGTATTCAAACAGTATCCGCAGGCAAATGAATGTAGAGTACATGCATGTCGGTTAAAGGCTATGAGTGTAGGTTGAGATCCTATGGTGTATTTTCTCTACAAAGTGAATTTAGTGCTCCTAACTGGTGCAGGTTCAACAGCCCTGGAAACTGAACTCTTCTATCCACAGAAGAAGCAGTGAGGGGGCAAGCATCCCCAGTGCTCATGATCTGGAGAAAGCACCTTTAGGGGGTGAAAGGTAGTTCCATCTCTGGGTCCATTCAGTCCTTCAGTTGTCTTCTGAGACTCCCAGCCAGGGTGCTAGTAAGTGTGATGGTGAATTGTTATGGTGTCAACAGCTGTCCACTGGACTGAGATCACCAACCTCATGTGACTGGGCAGCCATGAGATGGAAACAACCTTTGGGCATTGTCTTGGCCATGTATCACATACTCCAATTAAAACCTACTATGTATTATTTGCCTTTAGAGAAGAGCATATTTGTGCTTTCCTCAGCACTGGAGCAGCATGATACTAGCCTATCTGTTTGTTACATTAATTTACAATGCAACGATAAATTTATATTTTCTCTCCATTTCTTTTAGGATCACAGCAACCAGGGATGCCATACTACACGGATCCAGGAGGACCTGTGATGAACCCCATGGCTATGGCTTTCCATGTCCAGCCCAACTCCCCGCAAGGGAATCCAGTGTACCCACCTCCGCCCTCTTACTGCAACGCACCACCACCCCCATATGAGCAGGTGGTGAAATCCTCCACGTAACAACTCTGCAGCTCTTTTACCTGACTCTGTGAGAAGCAGGTGCCATTGCAAAGTGACTGGGGTAGAGGGCCTCTGCCCTTCTGAACACTTGCTAGTTCTCTAACTCTCCCTACACACACTCCCCATTAACATTACTTGCAAGGGATGATTTTTTTTGTAGTAGGGGGTGAATTTTCATTTTGATGTATTCAAAACTAAAGCAAGGTCTTTTAAATGCTTTTAATGGAAACCTATATTTAAATCCAGTACGTTTTCCCTTTATTTATTGTTTCAAAGATGCATATTAACGCATTGTGGCAAAATACGGTAGCAGCTTTATGCAACCACAAAGTGATGCACGCTCTCCTAAAACCCAGTAGACGAATGTGGTTTTCTACTAGAGTAGAAAGGAGAGAAGGAGTGAGTTGGAGGAAAGAGTCAGGGCAAGATATTTATGAGAAGTGTGATCACCAACCTCATGGCCTGTGGTTTTCTAGGAAAGCTCTGTTCTGAGACAAAGAAGGGGGACAGGATGTTATGGAAGCCATCGAGTGAGCGAGGAAGTCGAGTCATGGCAGTGGGTTCTGTTTGGAACAAGTCCCACTTGAGAACTTCACTTCTATAAAAGGTTTGGGTCCAAGAAATCGTGAATGGGCAGGTCTGCAATGTCTCCACATGCACCTGGACTCTGAACTTGCCACCTTAAGCCTGGCTCCTCCTCTCCTTCTGACACTTTCTGGAGGGCTTTTGTTGTTGTTGTTGTTGCCAAGGATAAGATTGTAAAATATAGTTGATGATCTAAATGTTAGACTGACCTGTGTGTGGCGGGGAAAATGTTATCAGCTACACATCTACACTTGTAGAGAAACTACTTAGAAATATTTCAATACACAGAAGAGTTTTCTGCCCTAAAGTTAAAATGGAAAAAATGGGAACTTAGGCCCAGAACCTCAAGATATTTGGGCACTGAATTTCCATCTGGGCCTTGGGTCCCAATCTTGCTCCCTTTGAAGTCACTGGGAGTTTTGTCATTGACTTCACTGGGTGATGACGGGTCCTTGTTGCATTCAGGCATGTTAGCTCACTGGATTTGGTTACGGTCTTATAGCCACAGAGAGAGCACAAATGGGTGTTGTCTTCTCCAAGCAAGAGATTTGAAAATCTTCTCTTAATGATGCTTTAAGCGCAATAACTTACTGGGATATATGTTTAAGGGTTGCTTCTGAGCCTAATGCATGGACACTTTGGCCATGCAATACCACTTGCAGACAAGTCCCTGTGCATCATGCTGAAAATGTCCCCCATTTGTATTTGCCTCATACTCCTGGGACATTCTTTGAGTGGCAGTGGCCACTACCCAACATCTTCGAACAAACAAAACCTTTTCTCCTGAGGTATTTATGAATGGTTGTTTTTGCAGACATTTTTCCACTTATTTTGATTGTTTCCAATTAAAGTGTGGTGTTTTTTATTGCTGTTTGAACTGAAGAACCACCTCAACTATGAGCTTCTGGCACAAGACCTATAGAAATGTTTATTAACTTCCAATTAGTTACACCGGTGCCATCCCACTGGATGCCTGAGGGTGCCCACGTGTAACTGAGCGCATACTGCCAAAAATCTGCATTGCGCCGACGTAGTTGAGGGCATTATTTAGCCTGCAGAGCCTTTATCACTGGTGATGATTTGTGAGAATTTGGTTCTCAGAGCCCAGGTTGAGTTTGCAGGGCTAACAATCAGAGACCAACATCTTTTTGCTTGTAAACTAAACAACTTCAGTACAGAAAATACCGAGCACTAATAAACCCGGGAACGCCCCGTCCTCTTTTTAGTCCCTTTTCCGAGTGGAACTACCCTTCAAAGGATCAAATCCAGCAGTCATAACTCAGGTGGAATTCCTATTGAGAATAGCCATTTGTGTGACGTCTAGGAGAAAATACTTTCTGGGCCCACTCCAGTACAATCCTGACAGACTCTGGGAGGAATTGGCCTGCTATAAATACACTGAAATTGCATTCATTTGAATTGTGTTACATTTACTAGAGCCCAGTCTGGGACTTGAGCTAGAATCCTTAAAGTCACAGAAACACATTTCATAGACTCCAGTGGATCATTTCCAAGCAGTCTTAAGGGGCCAAATCCCAGTTCCACTGGAGTCAATGGGAGATTTGCCATTGATTTCACCTGGATGAAGATTTGGCCCAAAGGAAAGGATTAAACTTGTTTAGCAAATAAAATATAAGCAGAGCATTCCTGCCAGGAGCAGTGGTAGCATTTCTGTTAGCCTTTGCACTCGATTTCATCTTGGCATATAACTATTAGTCTTGCTTTCAAGAAGAAATAAATGAAGGGATAAAGATGACATCAGGTTAAAAATACTAAGCTGTAAGGCTGGGTTGTTTTTGCATTTTCTAAATACAAAATACTTTAAAAAGGCTTGTCTACACGAACATTTAGTTTGTGGCAAGCTGAAGCGTGAATCTATCCTGTGTTAGCCTGCTGCGTCAAAACTGTCCACATGGATCCTGCTGATGTGCAGTAACAGTTCCTTAGTACACTTTGATCTTCCTGGCTTTGGAACAGGAGTAGGTCAAAGGGCATTAAGGAGTTGTTAGTGTGCATCAGTGTGGGGTAGATTCCCACCCCCAGTTTGCTGAGAATTAAATGATCAAATAGACAAACCCAAAGAGTATGTTTCTAAGCCTACTTACACTGGTGTAAACCAAGAGGAACTCCAGTAAAGTCAATTCAGTTCCACTGGTATGAGATTAGAACCAGGCCCTGTGTTTCTACTTGCACTTATAGTACAGTCCATAGGAAGTTAAATCAGATCGTATCCGACCATATTGTGTTTTAGAAGTGTTGAATGTGACATTCATATCCATTTATCTTTTTAGGGTAAAAAGAGACACTCGTACTTACTGAGAGTGTAAGATTTCACAACACATGGCAAAGCTCATTCCTTTCTGTAGTGCTGTGTTTAGTGCTATATTCTAACATGAAGTTTGACCTGATCTCTTGCTTATCCCTACAGCCTACTTTGCAGATTAAAAACCAATCAAAGTCTAATATTTTCTGTTGTTCTTTTTCGCAAACTTAAAAGGGAGTTGGCTTTAAATAACAAACTAAACTTCGTTAAACCTTCTGTGTGATATTTTTGAGTGTCCTAGTATGTCCTAGACACGAAAGGCAAAATTCCTCTCAGCTCCACCCAACTGATCTTGACTAAGATAACCTACCTGAACCTAAATTTACTGTAATCTCTTTATCATTGCACGTCTCTTGCTAGCACCCGAGGTGCCAGATCCTGCAAACACATATGTGCTTAACTTTAAGCAAGGAGGCTTCAGTGTGAGTACCCGGGGGCTGAAAATTAAGATTGCACATAAATGTTTGCAGGATTGAGGCCTAACCACCGACTGGTGAGATCTCCTAGTTGCCCATATCGTTTTTCCACACAGATTTACGTGCCTACACAGAATATTGGAGGGGAAACCTGCAGTGGAGACCTGAGAGGAGACTCTTGCACTTAGCGAACTCTCCTATTGCAGTGTTACTCATGGGCTTAATAGATCTAAAGCCAGAAGGGCTCATTAGATAAGCTAGTCTGACCCGTACAACACAGGCCAAAGGCTTTCATCCAATTCCCCTGCATTGATACCAGCATTGAGAAACACTGAAGAAAAAAATACTTTTCAAAAGTATTGCAGCAATAGTATCGTTTTCTGAGGATATTACTGTTAAAATATTCTTCCTGGCCGGGGCCTGTAGTAAGGCTACAGCAGCTACTTGTGGGTTTGCGATGCAGGCCACATGAACATTTCAGATATATGTATTACATGATTGGCCCAATTACCTGCATAGCACAATTGTACGTATTTTCTAAACTAGTGTGCACACTAACTGTAACGCTGCCTACAATCACATAATATGGCTCTGTATACACTGTATTTTTTTTTAACTTAATCAAGGGATTTTTTTTTTCCTTTAACAGACTAGGCCTTATGATGTGAGCAAATAGGTGTCGTTAAACCCTTTTATATTATTAAATGTGTCCAAGAGAACTGATGTTTTCCTGATAACATTGGGTAGAACCCTTTTCCAGTGGACTCTTATGCTGTATATTGAAATTCAACTTCTGGTGAAGTTTTTCTGTGATCCAATTGTTTCCTTTATTAATGTTGGTGGATTATAACCACCTCTTACAATGAAGTCAAACTCCTGGTCTAGTGAAGTCGTTTGGTACTTAATTGAAAACACAGCAGCACTGTGGGTAAATCTAGGAATTATTTGCAGATTGCTTGCATGCTTTTCCTCTGATATGCCTCTTCCTTTGGGTTTCTAGGTTTTTTTGTTTCCCTTTATTTTAGTTTTTTTTTTAAAGAAAAGGGTGGTGGGGGGGGAAGAAACCCTGTAACTTTTGATAGGGTCATGTTTCATATGTATTCCAAATAAAACTGATCTGGGTGTGTTTATTGCTTCTTTTGCCCAACGTGGTTTGGGAATTGTGGCGGGGAGGGGGGGGAGAAATTAGTCCTTCTTCTGCTTGCGGCTTCTGCTGTTATCTTAGAATGGGTCCACTAGAAAGTTCAATTTAAGTTGCATTCTATTAAAGCAAAATTAAGCAAGACTGCAGAGAAGGGCAATAAAAGTGATTAGGTAGCAAGAGGGAGGGATGCACTTAAAGGATTTATTTATTGCTAACAGAGAGCTGAACATGTGCTCAGTTCTATACAAAACAAGAACATAGAGGCCCAGATGTGCCAAGCTACTTAGGCAGGTTTGTGATCCTATCTCCAACCTCTTCCCTCTGCTTAAGACTCTGCATATTGGTTAAATGAAAATAAAGGGCTGTGAGCCTCGTTCTCCTTTGCCTTGAATGGTCTGCAGTTGTTTATCTCACAGTAAAGGGAGAGAGCATTTTACTTCAATTTTGCATCAACATAAATGACAGTGAAAAGTAGTGAGTAATCAGGGTCTCCAGGGAGTTACATGATAAAAGCCAAAGGGCCTGAGTGGCTGCTCTGCTACATGAATTCTATGCTTCTGTAATTCCACTGCAGTCAACTAAGTGTGGTCCGTCAGGCCCTATAGCTTTGTGAAAGGGTGTAAAGAAGTGACCAAGGTTGCTTCAGGAAGGTACAATAAGGATTGCAGGGATGAAATTAGGGTAAATAATGAGATAATGCTGAATAGGGAATGCTCCCTAAGAGTGAGCGGCTGTAGACTAGTTTCCTATGTGAAGAGTTGAATACTCCAGCTGGGCATAGAACCTTTAACGCACGAC